GGCTACTAAGCCCACAAAATGTGGCTCATTCAAATTGAGAAGTTCCAACTGCACTATATTTCAGACCTGGTGCAAAACGTGAATGTAAAATGTCTTATTAATGATTTTTCTACTGATTAGATGTGGAAATAACAGTATCTTGGAGATACAGGGTTAAATAAAATCTGCTATCAAAATCGATTTTGCCTGATGCCTTTACTTGTTTGGTGGGGCTGCTAGAAACTTAAGATTACGCATGTGGCTTACCCTGTATTTCTACTGGGCAGCGTGGGGCCGGAAAAACCAGAGGGAGGCGGGAGCCTGAGAGACCAGGGAAGCTCACTCCACAGTCTGGAGGGCAAGCACCCCAGCCCGGGGAAACAGCAAATTCACAGGGGGCAATAATGAGGCAGGGTGGCTCAGTGGGGGGAGGCAAAGGGAGGGAGGGAAGATGCCGAGGACCACAGGGCTACCGGCTGAGAACTAGGCAGGGGCCTGGAGGCCAAGCCAAGGAGATGGGATGTCACCCCGGGGGCAATGGGAGGGCACGGGAGGGTTTGCATCAGGGGGCCGCTGTGCGCGATTTAGGTTTTGCGAAGATGCTGCATCCGGTGGCTGTGCACGTTGATTTTGCACACTGCCTCTTTCCTCCACAAGAGCAGATAAACGGAGTGTTGTTCTACGATCCAGATGGAGCCTTGGGATCTAGGAGCGGTCCTGCGGCTTAGAGCAGTTCAGCAGCCTGCCTCCTCCCGGAGGGCGTGTGGCTGCTTCCCTCTGCCAGCTGGTTTCCTGTTCCCCACCCCCCACCACACTAAAAACCAGGGCAGGGGCCTGAGGTCTGTCCTTCCTTTGATTTCATTTAATTTTATTCTATGAACTCAAAAAATTTGGTTTTCTTCTCTCATGAGGACTTCACCCCTTTTCATCTGGCCCTATTTTATATTTGGGGAGCGCCCCCGCCTCAAATCCCCGATCTCAGGATGTCAGCTGAACATCAGCCTTCCAAACTCATTTCCTGTGGCATTTTCCCCCTGCTTCACTGTTTCCAGATTCTCATTTTCCCCCCAGCTCATCGGTCATTATCACCACTGGTGAGTCACTGGCTCTGAGTCATGCCTGGCTGAGATGCAAAGGCCAGGAAAATGCCTCAGAACACACCTAGCTAGCAAAAGATGTCCCCGAGGAATGTGGTCTGCACCTAGGCCCCTGCCTTCCTAAGTGGATTCAGTAGTTAAGCAGGAAAAAGAATTGCCTTTTCTCTCTCATTTCCCTCCAATTTTGCCATTTCTCTCTGCATCTGATCGAGATTATTCCTGTGGTGGAATGAGTCTTGGTCATTCATTTTGGCCTTTCAGAGGCAGAGAATGGTTCTGGAATGAGCCCAGAAACCCCGCAAGGATGGAAGCAGGTGTTCCTCAGGGGGGATGCCTCCTCTCCTGTGCAGCACAGGCCTCCGTGCATATGCTGCACGGGGATCACCTTCCTTTGGAGAGCCACAAAGGTGCCCTTTCACACAGGGACCACCCAACTGAACATCTGAGGAAGGATGAGAGGTGGCCCAGACCAGAGGGTACTGGGGAGACAGCAAATGAGTGTCACATGGCACCTGGACTGGATCCTGGAACAGACAGACAAGCTGCCTAGATCTGCGTGCCAATGCTGTCCCCATAAGCCGTGTGCCGGGAGGCAGATCGCACTGCCTCGCAAGCCTGGGTGTTCTCATCTGTGAAATGGGCATGGTGATGACGGCCGCCCTGCACTGAAGTAACAGTCCCCACAGAGCGCTCAGCACAGCGGTGGGTGTGCCAGCGCAAACCCTATAAAGGTGAATGGAACACTTTACCGCCAGGGGTAGCGTGAGTGGCCCCGCCCAGCTGTCTCTGGAGCGCTCTGCACTTGCCCGTGTGTCAGGACTTAACTCTGCAGTTCAAGGAACTGGGCTCTGAAGACCACCCCATAAATAAAGGCACTTGCCCCACACTCTTGTCTCAAAGCCCCAGATATTACCATTACAGACCCATGTCTTCAAAGCACCTTCTTTCCAAATATAAAACTCTTGGCAGAGGTACTGTCATCAGCTCTGAACACATGGGAACAATTAGCTTATCGGGGCCCCACAGAAAGGGGTTCTGAAAGGCAGGAGGAAGAATGGAAAGTAGGGATGGAAGCACAGCCCTCGGGGTATGTTTGTGGGGGCAGCCCTCAGGGACATTAAGAGACATCAGAGCTCTGGAAGGACATACAAGCGACTGGCAGTGATGGGTGCCAGGGGAGGGGATTGGGAAGCCAGAGGGGGACAGAGAAGGCAGAGACAGAAACTATTTTTCACTGGACAGCCCTTTGTATCATTTGAATTTTGTACCATCTGCATGTATTACCTAGTAAAAAAAACTGCTTAAATTAAGTAAGGGATAAAATATTGGGTATCCAGGTAAGACAAAATCAGAAATAATAAAGTCTCTGAAGGCAGAGGTGCATTTCAGATATTTTGCTGGCAGTCTGCCCTTCTCTAGACCCCTTTTGCCCCCAAAACCTCCCAAATGAGAGCAGTTTCTCTGTGACTCCTGGGCGACTCGTTCTGGGAACATTAGCCATCCTGTTTCAGGGTCAAAATCTGAGACACTGCAACCTAGAGCTCTCAAAATCCTGTGAAAAATCCCTTCTGGATCACTGGATGAACTCAAGGGAAAATGCAATTTCTCCTAATGTGACAGCCTCCCTCAAAGCTGGCCATGAGGTCAGATCCTGGAGGGTCATGTTCAGCTGCACACTCATCTCACTGTTGGACATCAGTGGGCTCCTCGTCCACTACTAGGATGCGGCGAAGCAGAATGCCAAGGAAGGGAATAATCCCTCCAGGGCTCTGCAGAGCCACCAAGAAATCCTGCATCCTATCCTGGCTTGAGCCACTAGTAGGACCTGCCATCAGCAGGGAGGGAAGAGGTATGGAGGCCACAAGCTTTGCAATCAAGTCAGGAGATTCATCCAGACCTGCACAACCTTGGACAAGTCACTCAATTGCTAGGATCCTCACCTGTGACACAGATCTCCCCTTACCCTGCAAGTTGTAAGAATCATGGATGCTTTATGTACAAATATTCAAAGCCTTTCCATTGTCCCTAAAAAGAATCCAGCACCTTCTGCCAGTTTTCCATTTAAAATGTCATTGATCTTGAAGTTAGAAGGTCATTATGCATTGAATTGTCCCCCTAAAAAGATGCATTGAAGCCCTAACCTCTGGAACTGGAATGTGATCTTATTTGGAAATAGGGTCTTTGCAGATGTAATTGGTTCAATTGAGATAAAGTCATAATGGAATAAGGAGAGCCCTAAATCCAATTTGCCTGGTGTCCTTATGAGAAGAGAAGCAGCAGTAAAACACACAGAAGATAATGTGAAAACAGGGTGAAGGTGGCCAGGTGACCACAAAGACAGAGATGGGGGTGACACAGCTGCAAGCTAAGGCCAAGGGCTGCTGGAAACCACCAGAGGCTGGGAGAGGCATGAACAGATCCTCACTGAGAACCCTTAGGAACAAACCAACCTGCCAACGCTTTGAACTGGGACTTTGGGTCATCAGGACTGTAAGAGAATAAATATCTGTTTTAAGCTCCCCACTTTGTGGTACTTTGTTATAGCAGCCACGGAAATTCATACAGGTTTTATTATCTAGTGTTTAAATTCTCTCGCCCAACAAGTCAGCTAGCCAGCCTATGTTTATCTCTAGTAAAAGAAAACTAATTTAGTATGTACCAAGGCAACAATCCTCCCATCTTTAAAAAGATCTGTCATAAAAACTATTCATTCAACAAACATTTATTGAGCACCTATGATAAGCCAGGCACTCTTTGGGGGCACTACTGATTCAGTGGTAAATGGGTGGCAGACAATAAAAGCATTCACAAATAAGGTCACTTCTGATATCGTTATGAAGAAAATGAAACATTGTAATATGATAGAGTGGGTTGGGGACCAGGAAGAAACTATTTTGATTGTTAGGGAAGACCTTACTAAGGATGTGGTATCAGGGCAGTGACTTTAATGACTGGGCCAGCCACCGTTAAGTCTAGCAGGAGAAACAACCAGTGCAAAGGCCCTGAGGCAGAGGGGGTTAGACATGCTCAAGGCATGGAAAGGAAGGTGGGACTTTTGTAAGTAAGAGGTGGTAACTGATGAAGCTGGAGAAACCTACAAGGTCAGTTGGAATTTATGGCCACCATGGGATGGCTACAGACTAAGGCAAGAAAAAGAAGTCTGAATTTGATCCCAAGATCATGGGGAAGCCAATGGGGAGATACATGATTTGACTCTAGTTTTAAAAAGATTATTCTGGGATAATAAAGTCCTTAAAACTGAAGTCTTTCTAACCATATCTTTTGTCCTTTTGTTCTTGGGCCTCTACAGAACAAGGCTAATAAATGACAGCCCTGCACCTTCTGTGACCATGGCTCCCAAGACTCAGGCTTCCCTGCTCTCAGTCATTCCCCACTGCAGCAGTTTCCTGTGGACATGCTTGATTTTTTTCTGTTCATTACACGTGCTGTCCAGTAAAGAATGCAACATTCTTGGCATGGAGTAGACTGCAACTGTCACTTTTTCCTTTCAGATCTATATACCGGATGTACGCCAAGATTGCCTGGCTTTTAGTTACGTTTTGTCCCATTGACCTGCTGAAACGTATCTCAAATAACATCCCCCAGCAGTCCTTTTTTCAGATCTAGATGGTCAGATCTAGAAAATTAGATTAAAGCTTGTTCTTCCCTAATGAGGTCAACTGTGCCCATTTAAAAATAAAAACATCACTATCAACCGAACAATGCCACATATAAAATACTGGATAAAATAAACAGAAAGACTGGGTCAGCAACTTAAGTTTCACCACCACTGTGTTTCTCTTCCAGGTGGAGGGCAAGGAAGACTATCACGGCACGTTTCCCTAGAATTGCCTTGTTCTCTTGCATCACCCAGCTGAAGACACCTAGACTATTTGGAAACACTGAGCACTTGGGCAAGACACTCCGTTGCAGTCAGACTTCCTACCAGATCTCTCAGTTACAAACAAATCTGAGCAGACGCAGATTCTCCCAAGCTCTGGGCAGGGGAAGCGGTGAAGGTGCAGCGAGCCTGCGAACTAGGCTGACTTACTGAGCAGGGTGAGTGGCGGGAGAGCAGGATGCTCTGCCAGGGGAGGCGGGAAGCCCTGGTGCCCTCCAATGTGCTGTACCCGGCCCCAGTCCTTCCACATCCCAGTGCTCAGGGCAGGGGAGGGCTACTGCACTTGGCGTCTGGTGGCTGGGTTTAACACTTTGCGTTGCCCCCTAGTAGCTAAGGGACCTCGGGCAAGTCACCTGGCCTCAGTTTCCTCATCTGTGATGTGAGAATGGTAACACCGCCACCTACCATTCCAAGTTGACTGGGAAGATGCATTAGGACTCAGCGAGTGAAAGCCCTCCCTAACTCCACTCGGCGGTAAAGCAGGGGTTATTCTTGGCAACGGGATTGTACCCCTCCCTTTGCATTATCTTCCCTGCAGCTGCTGCCTTCTCATGACTTTGTGTGTTTTTATCTTCCCAGGCTGCTCTTGATGTTTCTTTTAAACTGGTTTTCTTTTCTGAGGGAGGGGGCAGAGAGGGACATGTAGCATGACTTATCCCATCCTAAACCTTTCTTTCCTAGAGATTGTCCTAAAAGAAGTCCCTTCCGAGTCATTTGGGGGTCACAATTTACCTCTGAAGAACCCAATTGTCATAAAAAGAGAACCGGTGTTGTCCACTTTCTGGAATGCTGTCCAAATTATTTAAGGTTTGTGACTTAGGTCAGTGAGCAGCTTTTCCTCTTCTTTAGCTGTTACATTCACAAACGATACAAACTACCTTCGTACTGACACATGCCATACACAAGACAAACATGTGAAAAACATGGGAATGTATTCCAGAACCATTAGAGACTAGAGATGATGAGCTGATCACTAAGAGAGCCTATCTGTGAGTCCTCAGCCATCTTCATTTCTTTAATAGAAAAAGAGAACCTCAGGAGTCAACTTTTTCATTGTGAGCCGGTCTCTCAATAGACTATGGCCCTATGCTTCAAATGCGCAAGCAGTCCTATTTCTGAACAAAGTGTTAATAAAAGCGAGTGGAGGGGAAGGGAGAGATTGAACGATGGGAGAACATACACTCCCAGACAATGGAGGAAAGACTTGGTAGGTGCACTCCGTTGAAACACAATTGAAATCTTTTTTTTCCCTTTGTTTAATTCAATGACAAACACCTTGGCTGCTCTAATTTAGGCTTAGGGAGGGGGTGCCTCTAATCAAATGAATCTGAAACATTAGTGTTAAGTGGCAATGGTCTGGCTAAAGCAGCCTGGTCCCTGACAGCTGTCAGCCTGCCTCTAACACTGACTCACTACAAGATAACCTCCACGTCAGGGCGCCTCACCTGTGCCAGCTCAAGAGGCCAGTTCCTGTTCAGCCTGCAGGTCGACACCCTGGCCTCACACTTACCCAGAGTTAAAGGAGTTAACCAGTGCCCACTGCAAAGTCCTTCTCCCAAATCTATTCAACGTGCAACTTGGGGAGCACAAATCCCGTGCAAGGGGGAAAACGGGCTCAGCTTCAAGAAGACTACATCCTGTCCTTTCAAAGCCCCTGCTCGCTGGTTCAGTCCACCCTGACCCAGGGCTTCCAACTGCGTCTGTGCCTCTGTGCCCTCTGCAAACCTCCTCTTTGCTCCGTGAGCTGTCGGAAGGGGGGACCCGGGAAGGCGCAGGCAGGCCGACGGGGCGGGCACCCCGTACAGAGCCCCTTCTCCTTGTCCCCACACCTCACCGGTCTGCCACCCCAGGAACAGAAGCAAACTTAAAACTGAACACACACAGGCGACTTGGCCAATGTCTTTTCATCCTGGTCCCAAGCACCCCTCCCCAGCATCCCTTCCAGGAATCGGGTTCTTCTTCCCCCCAGGATTGAGCCCCAGTGCCATCCCGAAGCTACCTGGGGACACCATCTGCCACCGGCGAGCGGAGCCACCTTGTCCACGTCCCCGAGGTACTGCACCGCTCCCCACGCCGCGGGCTCTGGGCTCCGTCACCGCCAGCGCGCGGCCCCTGCAGACGCCACCGAGGCCCCCAGCCCTGGTCCCGCGCCCTCCCGCGACCCCTTCCTCCACCCCCGTGGCCCACCCCGCCCGCCCTCCGAGACCCCCGCGCCGCCGGAGAGCCCGGGGTGCGCCCTCCTCTCGGACGCTGGTGGGGCCCCCACTCACCACGTCGGGCGCCCAGGCAGCCGGCAGGCGTGCGGGCGCCGTCCAGTTCCGACCTGCTGCCACTGCGCCGGCCCCCGAGCCGGGTCCTTCCGAGGCGCCCGGGGCGAGCTGTCAGTCAGCTGGCCGTGCCCGCCCCCGCGCCTGCGCAGGCGCGGGGAGGGGGCAGGAGGCGGGTGTCACGTGACAGGGCCCGACGCGGAGTCGGCGGGGCCTCGGCCAGCGCCCCGGGCGGCGGACCCCTACCCACGGGGCACGCTCGGGGCCGCCCGGGGGGCAGCTTTACGGAAGGTGTTGCTCGAAATGAGGGTGTCTTGCCGACTGGGAAGGGCTGGATGGGACGGGCCGCTCTGCGGGCGAAGGAGTGGGTTACCGCGCCGCGGGGGCTGGCGGGGGTCTGGGTGTCGTCCCTGCGTGGTGCCCACACCTGTCAACAGCGACGCCGTCTCCCGCCCGCCTGCTCCTGAGGTAGGGCGAGGCCGGCTTTGGCGAGCACGCTTTAAAGTAGGTCACGCAAGGATGCCTGGCACGGAAGGATGCCTGGCACGGAAGGGCAATTTGGGGTCGACTTATTTTTCGGAATGGGGCATCTTAAAAACTGACAGACTCCACCTCAGCTGTTCAGAAGTTTCGGGCCAGTCTGCATCTTTAAAGCAAATACAATAAACGCAACTTGCAGGCCCTTCAGTGTCAGTTTTTTACACATCTATTCAATTAAAAAGTAAAAGGTAAACACTAGAAGAGTCTCTTATGGAAGTTTTTTAAGTTCCACAGGAAGTAACTATAGAAGCATAAATTGACACTCCTTTCCAATAATTATGTCAAACTTGGTTCCCGAACCCAGTGAAATAGAGAATCTGACTCCAGAGTGGGGGCTCTTGAAACCTTGGATTTTTCAAAGACATTACCCAGGCTACACTGCAGAGCTGTGGCGCGCCTTCTGTGGCGGTATGTATGAAATAATGAAACCCTATCTTTAAATAAATTTAATAGTATCTGAAACAGGGCTGAATGTCAATTTTAGAAAACTGTTCTCTTAAGTCCTAGTTCTGCCACTTGGGGAGAAAAGACCATATGGATTGACGACCAAGGGTATTTCTTGTGCCCCACGTGAGGAACTGATAGTCCCTATCAAGACGACCTGCTGAACTTGGTAAGACCTGCTTGGAAAAGCTGCAGGGAACAACACGAAGCAAAAAAGCTGGGAGCTGCATTCCCACAAGGGTTGGGGCCTTCGGTGCCATAGATGCTTCCGGTCCATTCCAGGTCTGTTTGACCAGCTCGGTTTGGCCATCGCTGACGAGAAGCTGGATCTCTGGGGGTTCCAAGCTTGGTGTGAATTCAGGAAGGAAAAGAGTATAAGGTAGTTTTCATTCCTGTTGGGGACACAGGTGGGCATGTCATTGATTCCTGTGAGGTTCTGCCTTGTGTCCGGCAGAATAGAAGCTTGTCTTACTAACTTTGTGGGAACAGACGAAGATCAGATATGAGGCTGGAGGAAGTCCTCTCCTGGTTGAGTGAGTGGACCTGGCACAAGGTATGGACTTGTGCAGTCCTCACCTGACTCTGGCAATACCCACTGTGCAGGAAAATTGGAAAATGTGATCTCATTCAGGGTCAGATTCTATTTGGGGGAAATATAATTTCTTCTCAAGAGGTTCATATGGATCCTCTCTCTCCATACCTCATAAAACTTATGACCTCGTCAGAAGGTTGGAGAGAGGCAGATGACATGGCCATTTCAAAAAGGAGAAAGTAAGTTCTGCAAACCACAGACCAGTGAACTTGACATTGGGCCTAGGAAATATTCAGGACACATTACTCAAAAAATATTTGTGACGCCTCAGAAGCATCCATGACGAAGACCCAGTCATGCTAGGTTAGCTGTGCATCTTCTGTGAAAAGTACAGACTGGTAACTCAAGGAGATACAGTCGAAATGGTGTATTTGAACCTGGAGGATATATTTACCAGGTTTCTTTCAGATCTCATTTTAAGTAACAATTCAAATGGGTTTTTGTGAAAAGGGAATATATTGGTTCACAAAACTGCAATTCTAGGGTTGGTCAAGCAGGATCCAGGGGTGCAAATGATGTCATCAGAACTTGGTCTCTCTCTCTCTCTCCTACTTGACTGTTTCCCTCCGAGCTGGCTTCAATTCTCAGATTAGGTGCTTTTTATAGAGTGGTATCTCCCCCCAACAGGTTTATATACTCTCAGTGTAGCAGCCCCAATGGAAAAAAGGATTCTCTTCCTCAGTATTTCCAGCAAAAGTCCCAGGATTTGGTCTGAATGGACCAATATCACTTGTGTGCTCATCCCCTGAACCAACCTGAGGCCAGGCTGTTGGCATAACTGGATTGGCCACATCTGGACAGGAATGAAAAGCAGCCTCACCCAGCTACTTGGGTGGAGAGCAAGGGAAGGGTGGGTCCCCACAGGAAACTGAAGGGCTCTTGCCAGGATAATGGGGGATAGATTCTGGGAAGGCAAGGGAAAGCAACAGATATCCAGGACAAAGAATTTGCTAAGCTATCATGTGATGCTGTGTAAAGGGCATGAAGAAAACATGGGAGAAACAGGAAATTTATTCAATGGCTGAATATGCAAAAATACTCTGATTGGAGGATGATTCCAAAAAACAATTATAGTATACATGAGAAGCCAGGTGATGTGACTCAGCACCAGTTCTGTTTCTGGTTGACCACCATGCCTGTTTTCCCCCTTCCCTCTATGAAACATGTTGCCACAGATGCAGTGGCTTAAAACAACACAAATTTATGATCTTACAGTTCTGGAGCTCAAGTCCAAAAATCAAGGTGTCGGCAGCACTGCGTTCCTTCTAGAGGCTACGGTTTTCCTTGCCTTTTCCTGCTTCTTAAGCTGCCTGCATTCTTTGGCCTGGCGCCCCTTTGGGCATCTTCCAAGGCAGTCTCCTTTACTCTGGAATAGTTCTCACCTTTTCTCTGTCCTGTAAGACACTGATACATATTTAGAGTACAGGCTGGTTGTTTACCATTTTAAAATTGAAATATAGCTTATATACAATACTATAATATCCTATTTCCCAGTGAACTTTCACCCAGGGGTTTAGCATCCATTAATGATAATGCTCTGGTGGTTGCAAAATGTTGAGGGTTCTAATTTGATCACTCCATCAACATTTATTAGTTGACACCAGTAGCCCTGGTGGAAACAAATCCGGAAACAAGGCTACCAGAAGATGGGAAGCTCAAAGAGGGTTGGCTGGATGCATAGCACTATTTTAAATACAGAGCTACAAGATACGGTAACAAAATTTTAAACTTTTAAAGCTCGGATTTTGATGCACCCCAGACTTCCAAAATTTTAGCTGGAATAAGTTTCTGGGAGCGAGAACGGTAAATAGCGAGAAGGTGGCTTGCACTAAGATTCTGATGGATCCCTTAGCTGTCATTACTTAATGCTTTCATTAATCTTACAATTTACTGAGTACTTAGCAGTTTACCAATAAACACTAACTGAACACCTACTTCCCAGTCCTGCTGAAATTGTCCCAAATGTTATAGGAAAACCGAAGAAATAAAAAGCATGTATCTACCTTCAAAAAATTTAGGACTTATCTGCAAGCGGACGCTGGAATGCGGAGAAGGAACCAGAGGCTTCGCGGACCCCAGTCCAGTGCGCTTCACGTGCTTTCTAGCCCTGTGTTTCCACTCCTTCTCCTCTATTTCCCCATTTTCTGAGCTCTCATTCCGCACACCGTCAAGCCACCTGAGTTTTGGCTCCGAGACGCCGCCGCAGGCTCCGGAACATGCCGGCAAGAATTCCCCACCGAGATTGACAGCCTAACGGCGCGTCTTGGACCTTGCGGCCGCCCGTAGTAGCATCCTTTCTCTTCCGGGCTTCAGTTTGTGTAGATCCCTTTATTTTAGCGAGAAAAGCTTTCAACTAAGAGCTTGCGTTCTCAAGGAACTGATAGTTTTTAAGACTCTCCGCCCCAAGCAGGCTCTGACTTCCAAGCCTCCACAGCCCCCCACGAGGGCCCCGCTCAGCAGCAGGGAGCGGTGCGGCCAGAACTGCGCAAGCGCAGCGCCGCCAACCTGTTCCGGGTTAACTTCCGGGTTCGCGGCACTCAGTTCTCGGATCCGGTCCCTGGGCTCCGGTGCCTGCCCAGCGGCGGCCTCTCTCAGAACGGCCTATAGCTGAACCTACCCGAGCCGAGCCGCGGGGCCCGCTCCGGCCCGATCATGATCGTGGGCGCATGATGCGTCCCTGCCTCAGCCGCAGCAGTCGCCGCCGCCGCCGCCGCAGGCCGGGAGGAGCCGCAGAGCCGGGCGACCCCGCCCGGGCCTCGGGTGAGTGCGGCCGACCGGGCCGGGCGGCTGGTTGCTCTCGCCCCGATCTCCCGGCCACTCCCGGCCCCCAGCTGCCCTTTGCGCCCGCTCCTCCTTCTGCATCTGCGACCTTCCCGAGTTCCTCGGGGGCACCTCTGTGCCACCTCTGGCCTGCGCTGGACTCGCCTCCAGATGTCTCCTTGTTACTCCTTGGTCGATCTCGGGGTAGGGCCCGAAGTGCAAGACCAGCTTTTTGCCTGACCTTGGGCGGGACAGTCAGCTCTCCGAGCCACAGTTTTCTCATCTATTAAGTAATAACTGGTTGTTAGGGCCAGAGGAGAAGTGGTTTTAAACCTTTCTGTGAGCTGTGAGGAAGGAGTGATTTATAGGCATGCATTACAGTGGGTTTTCTCGAACGTTGCCCGTGGCTTCTTGAAGGCTCCTGTTCTTCCCTCCCTTTTTAGTTTTTCTCTTCTAACTCTAATCCTTACTTACCCCTACCGTGATCTTTGAGAGGAGTTGCCTGACAGGACACGTGGGACAATCAAGTCAACCTTCAGGGTAACGTCTGCGTCTTTTCTTGCTGCAGCCAAGGAGCATCTCCCCCGAGGAGTCATGACTGCTGGAACTAAGTCCCTTTTCGTTGTTGAGTGGACACACGTTATCAGCTTATCAGTCACCAGTTTATTTTTGTGATAAATTGGAGTGTGAGAAGAACTGTTGATGTAGCTTGTTTACACAGTCTTCTTACACAGGTTGTAACACAGTACTGTCCAAATTGATGCTACCATGTTACATCTGCGGTCTGCTTCGTATATGTTCTTATTGTGCATATATTTATGTTTCACTCTTACTGTCTCAGATGGTCTAGAAATTTAGATCAATTTTATTTCTTCATAAACTCTTCACCGCACAGATGATGAGTTTAATTTTTTTGTTATTGCTTTACAACTTTAACTTACCTAAAGCCACCTTTTAAAAAGTCCCCTTGTTAACTCTGCTGCGTAGGAAGTCAGAACTTGGTTAAAGTGAAAGACCCTTGGGGTATGTGAAAAGTGGGATGGAACAGACACATTAAATGGCATTTCTTGAACATTCTGAGAAATAAAAGCATTATCAAAGCTACTTGGATTGTGTACTTTTGGGAGTTAGACTGGTAGGTTCACATTGACTTTTGAGGTGAGAGATGAGTAAGACTATCCGAAAGGAATTCATTAAACAACACTGCACTCTATGCAAATGACTCATCTCAAGGCCAAGTGGATAAATGTGTATTCAAAAGTAGTCTGTTACCCATGGCTCCGAGCATGCTTTGGATTACAGTGAATGAATCAGAATGTTACAGTCATGCTAGTCAATCCACTAATAAAAGCAGAAATCCTCCTCTAGAAAGGACAAGCATTAGCATGAATAGAATGGCTCCCAGTGAGAAGGCAGTAATAGGAACTTTACATACTAATTGTGTTCACTTAGTCAAAAGAATGGACATACTTTTACATTCTCACAGCATTACCTGTAGTCTTGGACTCTTTGGTGATATGAATAATCCTTATTAATTTGAGGAAATAGGACTAGAAAAAAGCTTACATACAAACTTAATGTTTGGGATGAATTAAGAATCAATGCATCTGAATTCCTGATGATTTCAGAACGTCCCTCCTCTAATCCATGCCGAACAACTGTACAGTGTCATTTTCCTAAAGCATTTTTTGGGGGTTGGGTATCCTAGAAATAATACTTAAATTGGAAAAGTAATACATGTTTTTAAAAAAATTCAGACACTAGAGCAGAGTATAAAGTGTGTAAAGTCTGAACACTATCTCACTCTCTCTTGTCCCTAAGGCCAGTGTCCAGGGTTAACTCGCTATGACCCGCCACCTGTAGCAAGTGAGGAGAGTTCAGGCTGGCTGGGAGTCAGTCAGCTCTGGAGCTGAGGGGGAACAGCCCACACAAGACCTCTCTCCCTCTGACACCAGCTGCAAGTTTGGGGGCTCCCAGGACCATCCTTAGGTTTGATTATTACTTGGAAAGATTGACAGAACTCACTG